TGATATTAACCCTCACACGCTGAATATTTTATATTGACCAATCACTGGCAGGCTTTCTTGGTTAAGCTGGCAGTTTACAGTTTGTGCTTATTTGACTAAATTATTCCTGTAAGACAACACAAACATTGTTGTTACATTCTAGGTCAATTATTTCAAGTTTCCGTTAAAATGTCAGTGTCATCAATATCTAGCAAAATTATTATAATACTTTGCCTAATGGGCAGAGTGCACTTATTGTATGTGGAAAAAAAAAAAAAAAAAAAAAACAAGGAACTAGACTAAAATTTAATTTATTGACTATCATCAATTCAATGTGTGTGTTGCGGGTTACAAACAAAAAATCAGTGTAGCATCATACCCTCCCTGAGAGAGTGAAATATCATCAGTTCAATGTGTGTTGCTGGTTACGAACCAAAAAAATTCAGTGTAGCATCATACCCTCCCTGAAAGGGTGAAGGGAGGTGTTAAACAATGATAGGGTTAATTACCAATGTTTGAATGTGGTTTGGGGAAGTTGGTTGACGGTTAGCCAATTTCCTTAACTCTCAAAACTTAGCTGATGTTCTTCTTTATGTTAACGACCACTTGTATATCTTCCTTAAGTATGTTAACTATAGCCTGAAGTGCATCCTGCTGCCATTTTAGGTATTGTGATATATCCTGCACTTTGTCAACAACCAGTCCATACCGTTGGGCTCGCGGAAAACTACCAGGCTTTATAGACTGAGCCATTAGTTCATTCAAACATCCCTTGAGGTCCTGCAGCTGCATATACAAGTTTTCTAATCGCAGTCGAATCTGATCCTCTATTTCTTCTAGTGGTAGATTTTTTTTCCTTTCAACCTCTTGTGCTGACACCAATTTTAGAACTCGGCGCATTATATTTGTCTGTTTCAACTTAAAATTCTGAATGGTAACTTTAATTGTCGTCTGCATACAACTTAATTGTCTTATATCATCCATAATATTCTTCATACTATTATGAATTTTATTGCCATATTCTTCTTGATACTTGAACTGTTTCTGTAATTCCTGAAATCCCACTTTTACAACAGGTATCAATTTCTTTGGGTCAGGATTTTTTTGCTTGCCCAGTTCCCACAATGCTGGATCAATTCCTATAAACAATAAATAATTTATTTTAATTTTTAATTCCACAAATGTAGGTACAATAAAAAAAATACCCCGTAATATCTTCACTTTTGTCATTATGTCACGATAAGTAGATGGATTGGTCATATCAAAATCATTTACCTCTTTGCGGTGTATCAAGATATTTCTTCATTTGTTGTTCAGTTAAAGTCAACATTGGAATAATCTGTTCAATAAACAAATTCTGAAACAGAAAAAGTAGGCATTTTTGTCTCTGTCTGGCTATCTACCTGCCTGTCTATCAAAAAACGTTCCATTAATAATGTCCCTTTTAAGCTAATTTGATTATTTAAGCCAACCTGATATCAAATCCCATTAAATAGATTGGTGCAAGCTATAATAAGGCTTACTTAGGCTTACCTTAAAAATTGGATTGTATGATGCTCTTAACATATGACTAAAGGTGTCAGTGGTAGATGCACGTTGAATCTCTCCTAGAAGGTATATTATAATATAGAGCAGTTTGCATAATACCATACTTGAAATCATTTTTTATGATAATTATTATTAGGGAAAACATTATAAAATCTTTAAATTCTTTTACCATTAGGAAAAACTTGCTGAATGTAAAATCTGAAGTTCGTTTTGTTTGGTACTTCAGCAGCAAAAATTTCATTAACAACAACTTCATTACCTCCGAATAATAGACTCAATGCTGAAATAACTTCCTGTTTGTAGGCCCTGGAAAAATAAAAAAAAAAAAAAAAAAACATTTTTTAATGTTCCCGGATCCTAGTCATATTTAACACTGAAAAATTATTAGAATATTATACAAGTATATGATTATTAATTACTTACTCCACTTCTGAAAGGCCCCTTCCAATTATAATTTGCACAATACCATCTTCATTACGATAATTGGGAATTTTTGTATAGCAAACTACTTTGAAACGACAATATGGATTTTCAGATGTGAACTCTACAGGTGACATATTGGACGAATAATAACCTGGAATAAAATTCATAAAATTATACTTTATTTTAATTATATACATTTTACAATATTATAAACAACTAGTCAAATCTACTAAGTTTTCCATAATGGTTTACTCACTACCTCATCGAAAAAAAATAAAATCCACATATTTACCTTTACCAAACCCCCAAAAAGCTTGAAGTTGATTCCACTTTCGCAAGACCTCATCATTTTCATTATTGAAGTAGGAAGGAGCACAGATTGCAATATGTAATGCCATTGATGATGAGCCCGGTTGTTGGTGAAGCATCTGAAACTGATGATTGCCCCTATTTGATTCGACCAGTGAAATAAAAACAATGTTCATCGAATCCTCACACATTATGGTGAAACCATTTAACACACCATCTCACCAAATGACCTACAACAGATCACAATTGCCTTATGTTTGTAAATATATATTAATTTAACTAGTCAGTGGTATGAAGAAAACATTCAATAAAACATATCACTAACTAGTACAAATCAATAAATATCCAGCGACAGGCCTCCGTTGCAGAAATAGGAAAGCGTCTTTTCTTCACAGAAGTTCGTTTGTCAAATATTATGGAAAAAAAAAAAAAAAAAAAAAAACACTTCAATCAATATCATAATGCGCTTCTGTTGATTGGTCGAATTAAAAATTTTAACAATAATATATATCCAGCAGACAACATTGAGTTAACAACCACACTTCTTTTTGGCAAGACGAAACTTTATAGTTGATCTGGTGGTTTTCAGTCTATGACAAGCAGGCAACCCACAATCATCATTAACACATGAAGACACATGTGTATGCAAGAGGGTTGAATATAAGATTAACACCGAACAATGTGGATGTCTAGAAACTACTACATGATGACGAACCCGGCGAAACATTAGACAAATCGGGGTACAAGTTTTTTTTTGACATGATGCACTGTGGGCAAATTCATACAGCAACACATCGGTTCCCTCGTGGTTAGCAAACTATTCTAATATTTGTAATAAACTTTGAGTATTAATTTCACAATAACGTTGTTTTTTTTATATAGTCTCAGGCGTTATATTAACCAACTTTCTCAAAGCCACATTTTCATCATTGGAATGGATATGGTTTTCTATTTTAACAATAATAGACTTGCTAGTTGAAGTAGTATATTTTTTCTCTTTTATCTTCTTCTCTTCGGCTCCCTCACTGATATCGCTAATATCATCCTAGAAAGATTAGATTTCATCACAAATGCACCTGAGACATTATTTATTTATTTATTATAATATAGTGTCCAAAGCTTCATCATGCTTATCATAAAATAACTTTTAGGTACTTACACCACAAGATTCCTTGGATAGCTCCATTACACAGTAGCCCGTATTACTACTGAACAGGATTCTGGCATACTGGTTGACTGGACTGGATACGGAGGCTCTTATATACTGTATCACCGGCATATTGCATGGAACTTAATGTAATGATTCATTTCTCTCTTTGAATTATATTCATTGGTGAATATAAAATAGAAAAGTTGATTCAATGGCGATAACCAAACTTGGTGTTTACATCGGACGATAGTAGTACTGCTTGGTAATCATGTGATATGTTGATATTTTATAAAGAAGATTATGGTTTTGTTATTATGTCCATAATTACATACCTCATATTTTGTAGTCTTGTAATTAATGGAAAGAGAGAATGTAAGGTATTTAATTCATTATTCATCAAGTCAAAATATAAATATGATAAGTAAAATAGTAAAAGATAATAGATATATATTTTTTATTTTTATTTTTATATTAAATTATTTATATTCTATATAAAAAAAAACATGTTCTATTCCATCCATCAACTAATTAACTAAAAGTCTGAATCTAATGTAAAAACACTGTATTGATCTGAATTCATTACACCATATTTTTGATATTCACTTACTTTTTTTTCAAAAAATTAGTTTTCCCTTCTAATGAGATATTTTCCATAAAGTCAAATGGATTTTCTACATTATAAAGTTTCTTAAAACCGAGTTCAAAGAGAAGTCGGTCAGCCACAAATTCTATATACTTCCCCATTAGATCACAGTTCATACCAATAAGTTTGATTGGCAAGGCATCTGTTAAAAATTCTTGTTCAATCTTCACAGCATTATCAATGATAGAATATACATATTTCTGATCAGGCTTATTAATCAAGTACTTAAATATCAAGCAAGCAAACTCTGTGTGTAACCCTTCATCTCTAGAAATCAGTTCATTACTGAAGGTTAGACCTGGCATTAAACCACGTTTTTTTAACCAAAATATTGCAGCAAATGAACCACTAAAGAAAATACCCTCTACTGCAGCAAAGGCAACAATGCGTTCGGCATATGTTGCCGTTCTATTGGTAATCCACCTTAGAGCCCAATCAGCATTTTTCTTAACAGCTGGCAGCGTTTCAATAGCATTAAATAATCTGTTCTGCTCCTGTAAATCTTTTATGTATGTATTAATAAGTAAACTGTACATTTCATTGTGAATATTTTCCATGGCAATCTGAAAACCATAAAAACACCTCACTTCTGGTATTTGTACTTCTTGGCAGAAACGTTCAACAAGATTTTCATTGACGATATCATCTGATGCGGCAAAAAATGCTAGAACATGTGAAATGAAGTGACGTTCCTCTTCATTAAGTTTCTGTTCCCAATCTACAATATCCTTTGACAAGTCTACTTCTTCAACTGTCCAAAATGATGCTAGCGCCTTCTTATACATTTTAAAGATATCATGATTTTTAATTGGGAACAATGTAAAACGTCCTGGATTTTTAATCAAAAAGGGTTCAATCATCTGAAAAAAATATATAAATAAATAAATAAAATATTTATTTTAACATTGTGTTCACTATCATAGCATAATAAACGAATGAAATTATTGAATTTTGAGTAAAAAAGAGATTAATTTACTACGTACATGTTCTTCCATCCTATATTTTATGTAAACTAAAATAGGTACACATACATATATATATATATATATATATATATATATATATATATATATATATATATATATATATATATATATATATATATATATATATATATATATATATATATATATATATATATATATATATATATATATATATATATATATATATATATATATACATACATACATACATACACACACATATATATTCTTTTCTTTGACACGCTTCCCAATGAGCAGTATCCATTATAACACCAGGCAGTAATACTTCCTATGTTTTGAAGGCATGCCAATTGAACCTGATTGTGACTCACTGCTGCGTTTGTTGATATTTACTTCAGTAACAGTATATTCACTCTCTGGGAGAACTTCAGAAGGGTATATAGGGGGTATTTCATTGTTCCAAGTATCAAGTAGATTTGCTCTCAATTTTTCTGAATTGATACTCCCTATATCTTCTGTTAAAATATTTAAAGATTTTAAATGATTAATACTAATGTCTGCAAATTCATATGAAAGATACTTATTTACCAATACATAATTTCGTTCCCAGTCATTCATACTTAAAATAATCTTAACATCTTCAAAATGTTTTAAATTAAAGTTTTCCACTTTATTTATTAAGGGCCAAGTAATTGAAGCACATTTTATAATAATTATTTCACTGTTTTGAAGATCAATTAATACGTCGGCAAATGTTTTTCTTACATTTATCGATGAAACATTATCTAATATAAGTAAAAATGAATTTTCCACTAAATGATACAAGTTGATTGTTGGATTAAAGTTTTGTAAAAATTCCACTTTTATTTTTAAATTATTTCTCCATATGACAATTTTATCCCACACTTGAATTATATTTTTGGGGGCTGTTAGTATTATAACAGAATATTTTCTGGGGTAGATTTCATATTGCTTTTTCATGGTTTCCAAAAAAAAAAAAAAAGCAACTGCGCCACCCTTGCTGACAGTTGGGATCTTGAAGAACAAATAGAACCAATATCACCATCACTTTATAATTATCTGAAAATGATAAAAAAAAATAGTTCTTTGTATATTATAAGCTCATAAATATATAAAGATGTGTTGATACAAGAGTAGAATGAATAATTTGTTCCACAAGAACAAATCTACATACCTTATTTTTTATATAATTATCTTTTTAGTAATAATATTTAAACAGGTTACTATATCATGCTTTATAGTATTATAAATCCTACATTTTAACCGTGATCCTAAATTTAACCACAGCAAATGGATCACTCATTATATTAATATTTTTTGCCCACATTTTACATTTTATAATATTTTCACCTGGGCTAAGTTTCAATTGAATAGGAAGAAGTGGGGCATAATATCCATCTATATGTTCCTTGGTTGGAAAATAATAAACAGGAAAACCTTGCGGAGTATATTTGTTTGGACTATTAACCCAAATATGTGAACAAGATACCCATACACATTTTGGTAACTTATTACCATTAGCAATTGAGCTTTTCTT